AGCAGACATCTGGTAAGTTGAAATCCCACATGAGAACAAGGGCTAGTGATTCTCAGACTTCTCCCAGCTGTTTATAGCATATTTCATCTGCCTCTTCATTCCATAACAGACTCCCATCAGATCTGCCTTGTTGGCCTTTCCCCTTAATTACTGACACTTAAATGCTCAACCCTATCAGTGCCATCATTAGCTCTAGACAATCAAAACACTCCCTAATATACAGTGCTACCCCACCTTCCTTGCCTGTTCCTTCTGAAGTGTTTATAGCCATTCATTGCAGCACTTCAGCTGTGCGAGTCATCCCATCGTGTGTCCGTGATGGCAACTATGTCATAGTTTTTCTGCTGCACAATGGCTTCCAGTTCCTCCTGTTTGTTGCTCATGCTGTGTGCATTGGTGTAGATGCACCTCGGTTGGACTATTCTCAGGCGCATCTGTAGTTTATAACACATCAATAACCCCTTTGTCTTTGCTGCCACATGGATCTCCATCCCCTACCTCCACTAAGACTGCAGACCAAAGGACCTCACTAGTTTCTTAAACATTGGCATGTTGCCTCCAGGCTTATCTCTAGTGAGCCTGGGTTTATCTCTTTCTCCCTTGCATTCTAGTTTAAAGCTCTTTCAATGAGCCTTGCTAACTCCTAGGCAAAGATCTTTTTTCCCCTTTGACACAGGTGCACCCCATCTGTTGCCCACAGGCCTGGTGTCACATAGACTGACCTGTGATCAAAGAACCCAAAATTCTGCCAGTGACACCAGGCTTGGAGCCAGATACTGATCTGCTGGCTCTTTCTGTTTCTTCCCTCATCATTCCCTGCAACTGGAAGGATAGAGAAAAATATTACTTCTGCTCCTGATCCCTTAACCAGTCGTCCCAAGGCCCTGAAGTCTCTCTTGATTGCCCTCAGACTTCCTGTTGCAACTTCATTGCTGCCTACCTGAAAACTTAATAATGGGTGATAATTTGAGGGCTGTACCAGGGTAGGAAGCTTTCTCTTCACATCTTTAACCTGGGTCCCAGGGAGGCAGCAGACTTCCCTAAGAAGTGGGTCTGGTCTGCATATGGGGCCTTCTGTTCCCTTCATAAGGGAGTCTCCTATGACAACAACCTGTTTACCTTTCTTTATGGAAGCAGTTTTGATGCAGGGCATAGGCTGACTTAACCTCAGCAACACATCCATGCTAGATGAACTACTGTCCTCATTATCGTTCAGCTCCACTTGCAGAGCCTCGTATCTACTATGCAATGGCACTTGGGAAGGTGGGGCAGTCACAGAGGAGACGCACTTGCTGCGCTGGGCAGGCACTTGCCTCCATTGGCCCCTATTCCTTATGTCACCATGTTCAGCTGGGAGGAGAGAGGATAGGGAATCCTCCATATCATGCACCCTGTCTACCTGTCAGGCCTGTCCCAGGGAAGGTAAGGTGCGATTCCAGTAATCTCTCTCTCTCACACTCCCTGATACTCCTCAACCTATTCACTTCCTGCCAGAGCTCTGCCACTAAATAGAGGAGTTCCTTTACCTGGGCTCACCTCCCACGGGTGTACTCACTACTGATGCCCAGTACTGGCATAAGAGCAGGGCACACCCTGCAGCCTGATACATGTTCCCACCGGACCTCTGGGCAGCTGTGTCAGTCACAGTGGGTGCAGAGTCTAGAGAGGCCATAGCTTTCTGCCAGGTAGTACAATTGCTCTCTGGAGCACCTCAAAGCATGTAGCCATGGATGAGCTCACAGAAGAGCAGGTACACCCCTGGAGGACCTGAAGCCGTGGGTAAGGCTTTGTTGGAACAAGTACACCCTTAAGGGACTGCAGTCTATGGATAAGTCCAAGCCAGAACAGGGGCAAGGGGAGGAGTTCATTGCAATATTAAACCCTAGAACCTGGTCCAAAGGGACCAGTGGTGGAGATTGTAGCAGAAATACCTTTAAAATGTTGCAACCAATTATTTGAGTTGCCTGTTATAGGAATTACTATAGCAGGAATCACCTGAACCAATGGAAGAGAAGTCTTACAAGAAGCAGTTGCAGTGCAGCAGTGACCCGACCTGAACTGACCTTGGTGCTCAGTAGCTGCACCCAACACAGCATTTCTGTCCTGAGTAACCACTATAGCAGATGGAGCCCAAAGTCATGGACTAAATTAACTCGGTGGACATTTGTGGACATTTTGCAGGGGTGGTCCATAGACTAAGGGACTGATAGGTGTATTGTATCAAATGATGGAAAGGGGGGTGGTGGTTAATGAGAATATATTGGCCTGTCTGGGACCTGACCATGATATAAATGGTATGAAATAAGGGGTGGAGAATGTGCTGGTTTTGGCTGGGATAGAGTTAATTTTCTTCACAGAAGCTAGTATGGAGCTATGATTTCGATTTGTGCTGTAAACAGTGTTGATAACAGAGTGATGTTGTCATTGCTGAGCAGTGCTTACACACAGCCAAGGCCTTTTCTGCTTCTCACACCATTCCACCAGGGAGGATGCTAGGAGTGCACAAGAAGTTGGAGGGGGACACAGTCGGGACAGCTGACCCCAACTACACCAACTACTTGGAGATGTGTGGAAACCCAGGGCACCGGGAATATTTCTCTGCCTGCTCTGGGGTGCCCTGACCCCCAGGGGAGCACTGACTTTGACCCTCATTCATGGAGAAAGTTTCCTAGACTTCAAGATAAACTAGAATCCACTAAAGTGTGAAATAGATTATAGAGAGTAGTGTAGGTGTATTACTTGGTCAGAAATTTAGGTTTTGGGGTTTTTAGTATGTTGTGGATGGAAGCAAGATGGAGGGCACAGCATGTCGTCCTGGGTTTCTTCTTCATGCTTCTTCTCCCTTCTTCTTCGTGGGTTTGGGTGGCATTTTGTAATTGGGCAGAAAAGTCCACATTGCGGGCTCTTTGGGATCAGTTATCGGGTTAAAGGAAAAATAATCTAGGTGTCAGTTCTTAATTGGATAGTTTAGTCTTAAAAGACCTTGTAACAAGAGATTGTTAGCCATTTTGTGCCTTCTAATGAAAAGCCGCCAAACTCACAGTAGTGAGACTGTTTTACTGATGAGAAATAATAAACAGCTGAGTCCAAACATGAACTACTGTCTCAAGCGCCTTCAATCCAGACCCAGAGAAACCGACAACTGAAACCCCCACAGAGATGGATGATCATCTGCCTGTTGATGGGAACTGGTGAATGAATTCCTTGTTTTGCTTTGCTTGTGCACATGGCTTTTGCTTTCCCTATTAAACTGCATTTATTGCAACCCATGAGTTTTTTTCACTTTTACTCTTTGGATTCTCTCCCCCATCCCACCAAGGGAGAGTGAGTGAGCAGCTGTGTGGTGCTTAGTTGCCGGCTGGAGTTAAACCACAACAGGTCCATAATTTGTCTAACTTTTCTCACAATGAATAATGCCTATTAACACAAAATAATACCACTGACCTCTTACAAGATTAATCCCTTGAACTGGCACTACTAATTACTGAGATTCTGGCATTGTATCTCTAGCTTTAGGATGCAAGGAACATTAGAACTAAAATATTTCTTCAACCAAAGACTCAGAATGCTGTCATAATTACCTGCTACCCAGTGCTGTTACATAAATATAATCTCATATAATCAGCAATTATGATCCTCTGCTCTCCAGAGTTCCTCTTACATAAAAAGACAAGCAAAGTACTTCATCTACTGCCCCCTTCTCTTCCTGTACAGTCCAGGGTCAGTGCCTTTTCTTTAGATGCTTTTATTTGAAATAGTTTAGCAAAAGGTGAAAGAGGACACCACACTTATCCTGTTGTGGACACCAGAAGTAGCCTAAAAGAGAGAGTTTGAGTACAATACAACCAGCCTTTTTTCCCCCTCTTTCAAAAAACCTACTTGAAACTGGAAGGTAGGAGGCAATCTTCAGACACTTAAGCTTAAATTAGAACCTTCCTGGTTTTCCCTCACCCTTTCTGAATATACTCAAGAGACTGGTAGAAAAACCATGCATACCTTACATATAATGAGAGAAAGAGACAACGTACAAGACTTAATTTTAATTTACTATTCATCTGTGCTTGTCAATTTACCCTATCCCAATTTTTATGTCTTCCCTTCACACTGCTCTTGCATTGCTGCCCTCTTCCAACCAACTCCATCCTGTGGTGTAATTTATTCCCCCCCTTCTTCATTGATCAATGTGCTTCCAAGAGACCAAACATCAACAGAAACTATAAACACTATCAAGACGAGAATTGGAAGAACTCTAGATCTAAACCAACAGGGCAAGGCAAATTAAGCTACAGAATAAACATGCTGTTAATATCATGTATACAGAAAAGAAATATTCAGTATTTGCAGTTGAAGAGCATTTCTGTCCTTTTAAATACTTAATTCTGTTAGCCAAAACAGAATTCCTGCATTTTTAAGTCCCTCTTTCAAACATGTCATATAAGCCTTCCTTCTCCATGCTTCAAACAATTTTTTTACATTATAGATATAAAACCCAGTAAAATTCAAACAGCATTATTTGATAAAATATATTCTTGACATAAGAAACCACACATTACATACACTGTACTTTGCTCAATTAGAAAAAAGCCACAAACAAAACAAAAACCAAACCCAAAACCAACAACACTAAAGACAGGAATGCATGAGATTGTACAAAACAGTTACAGGACCATCACAGGACCATGGGAAAAAAAAAAAAAAAAAAAGAAGCAAAAGTGATGGAAAAAGCAAGAATGACCTCTTCAAAGCTATTGAAGTGAGACTACTTCTCTACTATGCAAACAAATTACTGCAAAAATGCTAAAGTTAACTGACACTGCTAACCTACTGTAGTAGGCATGCAGGAATATATACTGAGTGAATAGCATGCTCGCAGGATGGGATTTCTACATGAAAAATTATCATTTTATGTATGTTGACAAACCAATGTAGTCTACAGAGAGCATCTTCCAGGATATGTAGTAAATAAACTTCTCACACCCCTAGCTGAAACTGCTCCAGCATGTGTCCTCTCCATGGGGTACAGTCCTTCGGGAATGGACTGCTCCAGTGTGGGTCCCCCAGGGGCTGTAGTTCATGACAGAAAACTTCCTCCTCTCCAAAGGTACGCTCTTTAGAGGCTGCAGCTTCCTCCAGGGCACATCCACCTGCTCTGTCATGAGGCCCTCCATGAGCTGCAGGATGGTTATCTGCTCTGGAGTGGTCTTCTCCACAGCCTGTAAGGAAATCTCTGCTCTGACACCTGGAATACCTCCCACCCCTCCTTAACTCACCTAAGTATCTGCAGAGCTGTTTCTCTTGCATTTTTCTTCCTCATACCTCCCTCCCTTCTCACATGCACACACTGCTGCACAGCCTTTCTTAAATGTCATCACAGAGGTGCCCCAGCTTCACTGATTGGCTCATGTTTGGCCAGTGGCAAATCTGCTTTGCAGCCAGTTGGAACTGGCTTTGTCCAGCACAGCAGAAGCCCCATGTCTCTTCTGATGAAAGCTACCTGTGCAATCTCCTCACTACTAAAACCTCACCACATAAACCCAATACAACTCTCTCTATACATATGCACTTTTTTCCTTTTTTTTTTCTAATTTGTATTACATACTTCTGCCAAAAATAAACCAATAGATGAAAACACTTCCCTAATTATGCTTGTAGAATCTTTGTTTTTAACTCCCACTTAGGTTTCTTGAAAGCAGGAACTTAGAATAGTGGCTTTCAACTTACCTTTTTAATCTTCTGTGGAAGGTACGAGTTTATACAGCAAATTCAAGCTTGCTGACAAAGAGCTGGCTTTACTTAACCATCTTTTATGGTCCACAGACTACTGAATCAACAGAGCAAATTCAATCCACGGAAATTAGTGTCTTGCACTAACATCAGGTTTCAAGAACATAAACAATGGTAAGGGACCTTGGTGCAAGAAGCCACTTTCTGCTTACTGTAAAAAGGAAGTACAATTGCACCCTAGCCAGCTACTTTCCATATAAGCTCTACTGAACACACTGTTTACTGTTTTTACCTACTGAGAAGTAATGTCCATTCAAGAGTTTCTTGATAGCAAATGGCAAGCACACAAATAGGTTTTCCAAGATCTGTCTGTGAATTAGGCTACAGGGTTACTGACTGATACAAGCATAAGGGGAAAAAACATTTAACATTTTAAAACTTTTTTAAAGGTTTAAATTGTCTTCAGCAGCAAATTTAAGATGCATAACAAAGTCTTACTTCAGAGGCAACTATCATGTTTTAAGTAATTTACATCTTCCTGATATTTTCTTATAATAAAGTTGTCTGAATACTTTTTTGCTATTTAGTTGGTTTAGTCTTATGATAATTGCTCCAGCTTTTGAGTAACTTTGTTATACTGGTATTTACAAGTGGTCATAGTTTGGTATGCAGTATTATTCAAACATTATCTTTAGCTAGGTGGCTCATTTAAAGTAGTAAAAAACTTCTTAAATACAAAGTCATCAGGGTTGTCCTCAGTAAGTTAATGTTTATTGGATGTCTTTAGTTATAACTCTCTAAAATTTCAAAAGTCTAGCTTTGGTCACACTTTTATTTTGTTCATGTTCCTCTACTCAACTGACAAAGGTTATTGTTGGGTTTGGTTGGGAGGGGGTTGTTTGGTTTTGTTTTTTTGGTTTCTTTTTAAGTGTAAGTAATTGGGACTATTTTGCCACTTACTAGAAGAAACCCAAAATTTGTTTACTAACTAAACAAGTACCATCTTTACTGGAAGTAGAAATCACAACAAAGAAAGTTTACAAATTATTCACAAGATTCCAAGTTTACTGACTTTCTAGAATATTTCTAGATATAACATCAAAGCTTGACATTAACAACTTTTGTGTATTTTTTAAAGTTTCTTTAGTTTTACTGTTCATAGGTTTCCTACAAATGTACACCTAATATCACCTAAACACTTCTCTCTTCCCCCTTCTTCCCATCCCATTACTCACACTATGCTACATGCAAGCTTAATGGCCAGCATGTGCTGAATGATCAGCTGGCCATTATGTTCTTGGATTTTTTTCACTTGGGGCAATAATTTAGATCTACCCCCTTTACCCAACTGTCTGTTTTCATAAAGCCCACAGAACTCAGTTTTCTTCATGACCTCTGATCCATGAAATCACCTAACAGGTTCAACAGGCTGTGATCAGAAAGAGGAGACAGACAAGACAGATGGGTAGACTGACAGCATGATCACAACAGCTTCTATTTGTAAGTTTACCTTGCCTTATTAAATCTGAAGCATTCATCATATTCCCAGTTTTAGAAGTGTTAACTTCCTAGTGCAGTAGATACTTATTCTAGAACACTTGTAAGTTGAACAAGAATTCAATTCCACCCCTACAAGTTCACTGTTATCCTTATCTTGCAACAGGAAAGTTCTAACCAGGCTTTTCCAACCAAGTGAACCCTTTACACATCCTAGAACACCAGCATCGACATTAGAGGAGTGGATTTTTTTTTAAATTAAGATAACAGCTGGGAAAACTGTACTTTCACTTTGGAAAACAAACATGAAGTTAACACTTTCCATTATAATGCTTTGACAACTCAATTAAAAAAAAAAAAAAGGAAGCTTCACTGGAATTAACAGTCCACTGTTCCAACTTTAGAGATAGCATAGTTTAGGGTTTATACAGCATGTATTATGCATGCATGCCATGCACTTTACAGATAGACATGAGTTTTATATTATCATTTCAATCTAATCTGTTTCAGCTTTTGACACTTCAGACAACTTTTGAGGAAAAAGTGTGTAATGCTCATAGAGCTTAAATAGAATTAAAACTGTATTATGTAAGGTATATACACAATTACTACAGTCATTAAATTAAACTATCTGATTTTAACAAGCAGATTAAGCATCTGTAAAAATGCACGGTCAGTCCACTTGCTCACCAGGAAGCTTTAGCACAAAGTTAAAATGTAAACCAGTTCTAAAAAACAAAATACAGGAGAATATGTAACCAAGGACTGAAAGTGCTTACCTTGACTCTCCACTACTGTTTCTTACATCTTCATCACTGTGCCCATTCATTGTAAATATTAAGAAGTTTAAAAGATAAATAGAAGTCCACTCAGGTTAGAAGCCAGATGCCAAGAAATTACTTCTTGGTACTCTGTTTTCCAGATGACTCAAATGTTCTCTGCAAGATTTTTCCAAAATTGCCTAAAGTAGTAAAGAAAAATGTTGACATAATTTGAAATATTTGATGATTGCAACTGAAAGATACTGAAAATAACTTATCCTGTAATAACACCGCCAAAAGGGAGTATCTATCACATCTGGCATCTTCTTTTTAACTGAAAAATAGCTTTTGGTATGCCATAGTCATCTTAAGAACAACCCGATCTTACTTTTAAAGGAAAACAGCCTCCCCAAACGCATAAATAAAAAATATAACTATTCATGCTCTAAGATACGATTAGCAAAATAATTTTGTGCACAAAACACATATCATAAGCAGTTCTAGACACAAAGTTTACATTCTGTTGGGGGTAGAGTCAAGAAAATAGACTGTCCCATTTTTTAAAAATGGCTCAACTATATCAAGCTAACAAGATGCCACAGATGGAGTGATCACTATTTCAAACATCTTCAAATCAGATCTTTACTGTGTCAGATGCACCTAGAAAAAGTTTAGGTTCACATTAAATGGAGTGCAAGTATAAACTCACTGGTAATAAGCTAAAGAGCAGCACCTCTCATAGATGTAGTGGTGTGAAAGTGATTAGGGGCCCGCCTGCAGGTTGCCTGCCTTGAAGTACTCTCTAATACAGCCCAAGCTTCAACTCATGATAGAGGTGGAGGCCGCCTCGTACCAGGATGGTAAAAGCCCTGCGCTCAAGGACTATATCAGACACCAGGGCCACTCCAGACAGCAAACAAAAGCAGTGACGGAAAAAAGTTATAGGAATGAGTCCTGTAACCCCAGAGAGGCCGTGAAGCTAGGCTGGGGCCTCTGCGGCAGCGAGCTAGGCAGCTTGGTGGTTCCTCGCAGATAGGCCGTTAGCTGCCCAACAAGGCCAAGATCCGCACTGGCTGCCCTCCCACGCCCAGAGTACGAACACTCTGCCTCCTCTGGGACCGGAACTCCCTGGGCCCCAGGAAAGATCTTTAGTGGCCATGAAACTCTCCTTGTCAGCCACTCCCTGCTCTGCGACGATCCTCCCCAGCCACCCGCACCCCGCTGTCTCGGGCTCCCGTGACTGACAGCTCCCGAGGAGAGCCCAGGCCAGGGCTTCTTCCCTACCTCTCGCGAATTCACCTCCCGCCCCGGAAAATGGCCCTCTGCTGGTAGCGCGACCTGCACAGGCGCTGCTCCTGGTCAAGGCTCCCGGGAAGTATTGGCAAGGCGGCCGCTGTCCTCTGAGCTCGCTTCTCCCAGCGCCCCCCCATGGCCAGAGAAGAGCGAAGGCCTCCCAGCCAGTTCGTCACAGGCCCCGCTGGACCCAGCGAAAGAGGCTCAACCCCGACTGCCCACCTCAGTTCTCACAGCTCCCTCCCTCCCTCTTCGGAAAACAGAGACCGGCTCCAGAAGTCCAGCGACACGCTAGGCATCCAACTCCTTCTCAGCGCCAGTCGCCTCTCCATCCATCTTTGAAAGTGGCAACCACCGCACAACTCCGGACCAGGGAAAGAGAAAGGAGCCATGGCGGGCCTCTGCCTACCTGCGTGTGTGCACTCGGCCCGACTTTCCTAGGTCTGCCCTGGTCCGAGACGGCGCTACACTCCACAAAGAGGTCTGTGCTGCAACCTAGGGTCGAAGACTGCTCCTGCGGCCAGTACAAGGCCTGGGCCGCCGGCTCTTTACAACCCCACGCAGTGGGCTCGCCTGCAGCCCCCACCGGCTTGAACAATAGGGCCCTAAACCGGGCAGGGAGAACCCTGGTAAGTGCTCTGTTGCTCCGCCGCTATTTCCTACGTCCTCTCGACCACCGCCATCACGCTACCACTCCGCTCAACCTCCTCCTCCCTTAATTGGATGGAAACCCTGGGCGTGATGTCAGTCCTGCGCCCTGGGACAGAGCGGGGAGGAGGAGCAACAGCCGGGAGGGGACAGCGCCGCCGGGACATAGCGGCAGGATGGGCCACTTGGAGGGTATGGCGGAACCCAAGCGGTTTCCTAGCTGCGCTGAATACTGCAGGGGCCGGAGGCAGTAGGAGCTCGCCTGCCCGCCGCAGCAGCGAACGGGCGCTGAGACCGATGCCGCTCTTGGGGCCCGCTTGCAGCTCTTATGTGAGGGGGTAGGGCGCGGCCCGGCCTGAGGGGCGTCCATGACCCACCCAGTATAGCAGGGAACCTGGCCTAAGCCCCACGTTACTGTTTAGAGCTGTGCGGGTGTTTTGGGTTTTTTTGTTTGTTTGTTTCAGGTTTTCCTGTCTAAAATGAGAGCCCCCTAACAAGCACATATGCATTTCTTAGTCTTCCTATGCAGTTACAGTTGGCATTAGGGCATATTTAGGAAGGCTTGGCATGCAGCTGCACAAAGAACACTTGCCTAAATGAGGAAAGCATCCTCTAGCTGGAGGCAGAACACTCCTTTCTTTCTCTTGATATCTAGCTTGAGTTGTTTTGAAGTGATTAATGAGAAAACTGTTTAAGGTGGCTCATGTTCAGAAAAAAAAAAATTTAAAGAGTCCTACTGCTAGAGTCTATGTGAAAAACTCCAATCACTTGGTTTTTTAAATTTTACAAGTTTAATCGTAATAAAATGGTTATAAAAACAGTAATATAATTAGAGTAATAAAAATTTGAACAATTGAGATTAGGACAATATGAGACAATAAAAAACAAAGAGTTATGGACAGTCCAGGTACCACTTTCTGGGCAAAATAAGCCTGAAAAAGGACACACGTTAACAGAGGATTAACCCTTAAAAACAATAGCCTGTTGCATATTCATACACCTCATACATGATGCATAAATTCCATTCAAACAAAGGATTTTGTCTGGTCAGTGTCAACTTCTTCCTCTTAATCCTAATGGCGTCTTCAGGGCTGAGTGAGGTGGGAAGAAGTTCGTTTCTTCTGATAAAGGAGCAATAAATTCTTTTTCTCTGAAAGATTTAGGTGTCCTGTGGCTGCTATCTGGTGCAAGTACCTCATTCCTTTCTTTAAAAAAATATCCCACATACATAGTTTCTATTTTAACATTGTTATAACCTAAAACTATATTTAACACACTACTTAAGAAAATTAATACAGAATAACTTTCTAGCATAACACATATTCATTTTAATATTTGCGAAAAGCCAGTCATAAAATATGCATTTTTCACAGTCTACCTGTTCCCAGAGTAGCAAAAGAAAAGTAGTGGCTGCTGAGTAAAAGACAGCTCTGAGCAACAAAATTACACAGTGCTGGAAACAGGAAGTCATTTACCTCCTTTGTCCTCTTTGGAATCCTGCATATTGTGCTGGTTTTGGCTGGGGTAATTTTCTTCATAGTAGCTAGTATGAAGCTATGTTTTGCATTTGTTCTGAAAACAGTGTTCAGAATTCAGGGGTTTTTTTGTTTTTTTTTGGTTTTTTTTTTGGTTTTTTTTTATTGCTGAGCAGTGCTTACACACAGCCAAGGCCTTTTCTGCTTCTCACACCACCCCACCAGGGAGTAGGCTGGGGGTACACAAGAAGTTGGGAGGAGACATAGCTGGGACAGCTGACCCCAACTCACCAAAGGGATATTCCAGACCATATGACATCATGTTCAGCATATAAAGCTGAGGTAAGAAGGAAGGGGAGGATGTTCAAAGTTATGGCATCTATCTTCCCCAAGTAACCATTACATGTAATGGGGCCCTGCTTTCCTGGAGATGGATGAACACCTGCCTGCCACTGAATGAAAATCCTTGTTTTGCTTTGCTTGTGTGCACAGCTTTTGTTTTACGTATTAAACTGGCTTTAGCTCAACCTATGAGTTTTCTCACTTTTCCAATTCTCTCCTCCACCCTATCACTGAAAATATCAGGAAAATAAAACTCTAAAACTGTAATTTCAGTATCAGAGAGCAGACATTACTTTATTTTGGTGCCGGGTCTGTGGGTAATCACTCCTCCTAACACACACCAACTATCAAAACTTTTAATTAATTATTTATACATTTTAGCAAACAAAGTAATTAGTGTTCATTTCCTATAAGTTGCATAGTTCTCTTATTATTTAGCATTCTATCTTGTACTGGTTAATGATTCTCTAGCTTCTCATGCTAATTAATCCACATACTCAGTTTCTCTCTTCTTTTGGGTTGGTGGTCTGTGGGTTGCTGTTTGTGATCTCCCCCTGACAGAATTACCTTTTACCCAGTTTGAGCTGATTTGGGCACAGTTGCTGAGTTGGCTTTATTAGTTTCTCCTTTATCTTGGGAGTTCTGCCAAATGTCCTTGTTGCCCATAAATTCTGCATTTCTTCCCAATTTTGTTAGCCTCCCCCCTAGGTCAGAGATCACTGAAGCATGCCTAGCCCTAAACTTAAATTCCTTTTTCTAACACCTGGACATCACTTAGAGCATATAAGGTGCCTTGTTTCACAGATTAAATCTACCATCTTGTTGATTAGGCTTGAAAGTTAACAAAGATCAAACATCAAATAAGTTTTCTTAAGAAATTTTTAAATATTCAAGAGTGTGTGCATGTGAGAAGGGAGGGAGGTATGAGGAAGAAAAATGCAAGAGAAACAGCTCTGCAGATACTTAGGTGAGTTAAGGAGGGGTGGGAGGTATTCCAGGTGTCAGAGCAGAGATTTCCTTACAGGCTGTGGAGAAGACCACTCCAGAGCAGATAACCATCCTGCAGCTCATGGAGGGCCTCATGACAGAGCAGGTGGATGTGCCCTGGAGGAAGCTGCAGCCTCTAAAGAGCGTACCTTTGGAGAGGAGGAAGTTTTCTGTCATGAACTACAGCCCCTGGGGGACCCACACTGGAGCAGTCCATTCCCGAAGGACTGTACCCCATGGAGAGGACACATGCTGGAGCAGTTAGTGAAGGACTATCCTGTGGGAGATATCTTATGTTGGAGCAGGGGAAAAAATGTGAAGAGGAAGGAGTGGCAGATAAGCTCTTAAGAACTGACTGCAACCTCCCATTCCACAAGGGGGTTGGAACTAGATCTCTAAGATCCCTCCCAACCAAAATCATTCTACGATTCTCTCCCCACCCCTGAAGTTGGGGGGGGGAAGAGGTAGAAAGTTGGAAATGAAGGAGTGAAAGTGAGCCTGGGAAGAAAGGGGTTGGGGGAGGAAGGTGTTTTAGTTTTGTCTTTGTGTCTCAGCATCCTACTTTAGTTTTAATCGTCAAGAAATGAATTTGAGTTGTCAGTCTAAGTCAGGGAAAAGGAAAAGAGTTCGTGTTTCAGAATAGATGAGGACAGGAAATAACACTTCTTGGTAGCCTAAACTTTAATACTCTTTGTTCCCTTTGCTTTATATTAGTGGTGATGAATAAGATGAATGTCTTTCACACATATAAATCAGATTGAGTAGTTCTGGGTTTTTAAAATAAAACAAAAGCCCACTTGAATTGTATTTGCCTAAATAAACTTACAAACTTTCAGTTTTGAGAGCTTGGCATTTAGTGTCTGTTATTTCTATTCATTCTGAAAGGGGCTCTTCAAATACATGACCTTCCTTGGACTTGTTTATTAAGATAGGGTGGACTGTCATCTCAGATGCTTTTCAAAGACCTTGCAGGAATTAATCTTTTCTGGTTTTAATGGGTTAAATTTTTATTTTGCTCAAAATAATAATGTTTCCGGTTGGGTTTTAATTGGGGGATTGTTAAGGCAGTTTAATGTAACAAATGCCCTCTAAATCAGCAGTGATAAATTATCCTCTCTTTGGTCCTTTATCAACATAGACCTTATACAGGGGTCTAAATGCTCTTAACAGTGCTTTTGCAGCATGGCTTGTATAACTGTCTGTCATGAAGTTTCTCTTCCTAGTGCCTTGTATAAATTGGCTGACTTTTCCTAGTTGTGTGTTCTGATCAGGGGGACCTTTTTTTAAGAGGTAAGCTAGTGAAGCTAAACCTAAAACTACTGAAAAGAACTAGTGACCCTGTGACAGAACATTTGTTTTTAATGTTTGCCAGTGATGTTTTTCTTGAAGTCTGTCTCTCCTGTCATCTCCCCAAAGCATACTCCGATTTTATTCCATAGACATTTGTCACAAATGAGTGTGTTAGGTCACTCAAAGAATCACTGGCAACGATTTCAGGTTTAGGTTTAATATAAAAGCAAAAGCACAACAAAGTTCATTGTCAAGGTTGACTCTACTACTTACTAGATGGTTAAAGCACACTGAGAAAAATTGGACTAAAATCTAAAATAAATCAATCTAAAACTAAAATCAACAAAAAATTATGTATGTGGAGGTTGGGTAAGGATAAAAAGGAATGAGGGAGAGCCTCCCATTGAGTCACAAGGTTCAGAGTGGACTCCCTTGCTAAACTTAGCCCTGGACTTGACTGACAGTTTAGGCCTAAAGGTTTAACAGCACCTAATTGATAGCCTAATTTAAACAAATTAACAAGAGATTCTATAGAGCTTAGTATAAGCACAACAATAACTCACTTATAAGCCTAACTTACAAATCTAACATGCTTAAGAATCTAGGAGAGCAGCATTCCTGGTACACTTGCTGTAGCATATTCACACTCGCATGCACACAAAGAGTCTGTACAAGCTACCTGTGAAAAATTTCCCTTGAATTCAGTGAAGTACTCACTTTGGATGCACTTGCATCTTCTCAATGGGCAAAGGGTTGAGCCTCGAGGAGTGGGGGGGTATCAGCCCAGGATCCATCATCATTTGGCAGTCCTCCGAGTATGGCAAACTTGAGAGTTCACTGGCTCTCAGAGGCCCCACTCAGAGGGAGGTTGCTGGTCACAGCCTGCTGTGGTCCAAGAGAGCTCAAAGGGTCTCATTTTGGACTGGTGTTTATAGGGCCACAAGAGAGTGGGCTTTAGTCATAGTAATTTTCCATCCTGGCTGCAATTTGGGTCATTAACATTCTTTGAAAGTTTGATAACAAAAGTGTTATTCCATTTGGGTTGTAATTCAGAAAGAAAAATAAGTTTCCAAGGCTGGTCAAAAACAGGAGCTCATTAGACAGCATAAGTTCCTGGGAGCAGACAGTGGTTCTGATAAGCTCAAGAGGAGCTTAGTCCAGGTGCTGTTCATCAAGGCCAAGGCCTAACGAGCATTTCTCAGATCATAGTGCGGCCTGGGGGGGAAGCACAACCACAATTTGGATTTGAAAAATTAGCAGGTGCAAGCAATTATTTCTTGGTACTCTCAGTAAGCTATTTTGCTTTTCTTGTAAACTAGTTTGAAAATAAATATTGCTTTTGTGGATCTCTCTTAAATTGCTCTTAAATACAATGAGAATATCCAGAGACAGTATCAAACTTTCATACCAAGTCAGATTTCCCATATACTGCTGTACAAATGCAACTATTTGACTCAAAGGCTAGGTGTGGGGGTTTCAGTTGTTGGTTTCTCTGGGTCTGGATTGAAGGCGCTTGAGACAGTAGTTCATGTTTGGACTCAGGTGTTTATTATTTCTCATCAGTAAAACAGTCTCACTACTGTGAGTTTGGCAGCTTTTCATTAGAAGGCACAAAATGGCTAACAATCTCTTGTTACAAGGTCTTTTAAGACTAAACTATCCAATTAAGAACTGACACCTAGATTATTTTTCCTTTAACCCGATAACTGATCCCAAAGAGCCCGCAATGTGGACTTTTCTGCCCAATTACAAAATGCCACCCAAACCCATGAAGAAGAAGGGAGAAGAAGCATGAAGAAGAAACCCAGGACGACACCCTGTGCCCTCCATCTTGCTTCCATCCACAACATACTAAAAACCCCAAAACCTAAATTTCTGACCAAGTAATACACCTACACTACTCTCTATAATCTATTTCACACTTTAGTGGATTCTAGTTTATCTTGAAGTCTAGGAAACTTTCTCCATGAATGAGGGTCAAAGTCAGTGCTCCCCTGGGGGTCAGGGCACCCCAGAGCAGGCAGAGAAATATTCCCGGTGCCCTGGGTTTCCTCCATCTTCTAACTGTTGTATGCTTTTGTGAATAGATTTTGAATAATCAGACAAATTCATGCAACACATTCTTTCAAATTCCTCACATCCATGTCCATGCACTAACAAAAGATAATCAATTGCCGCTCTGTTTTGCACAGTCGCCTGTCTTACACCTTGAACATCAGTTAATACATTGCTCAGTGCATGAGAGGTAGCATGAGGGTGCTTACTCAACCAACACCCTATTTGATCCAATTGCTTCAAGACCACTCCTGTAGCTTCCTGTGGCAGAAGCAAAGCTGTTATACATCTCTGGCCTTTTTTCCATGTATTAACATTGTCATCACAATTGGGGTCATATCAACTGACAGATCTTTTCCCTCTCCATCTTTGTTCCCTTATCATTGTCATGTTGGGTGTCAGTAAAAAAAGTCTCCCAATGCTGCATGAACCACCTTTGACATTGGACGGGATGACGGGACAAATTCTGTCCTCATAAATGAAAAAGATTCCTTGCGGTAATTGCAATGGAACCTTGTTGGACGGTGTGATCATCCTTGCTGTGAAATTCCACCAAAATGTCGCATTTCTATACATAATGTAATTTGGGGTTACCTCTGTTAATTTGTCCTTATTTTGTTTTGACCCGGGAAGACTAAATACTACACAGAAATCCATCCTCACTGAGCCAAGAATTTCCAATTCTTGAGGTTCATAAAGAGCCTCAGGGAGAAATTTGGTCCAAACTCCCCTTCTTGTTTGAACCATGAACACTGCATTGAGAATTGTCAACCATCTGTCAGACACACATTCGATCCTCTGTTAATTTGTCCTTATTTTGTTTTGACCCGGGAAGACTAAATACTACACAGAAATCCATCCTCACTGAGCCAAGAATTTCCAATTCTTGAGGTTCATAAAGAGCCTCAGGGAGAAATTTGGTCCAAACTCCCCTTCTTGTTTGAACCATGAACACTGCATTGACAACTTTGTCAACCATCTGTCAGACACACATTCGATCACACCCCATATTTTGCTTAAGCTATCATCTAACAAAAATTCTATAAAATCACTGATTCCCACACCCATGAAGAAACCCAAAGTCCACAATCTTCTGTTGGCGAAGCACAAGGGTTGGAATCTCTGTGCGGTCCACATCTATGTGTCTTCTTCTCTGCTTGTGGAGTGGTCAGCGTTTTCCTGCACTTGATACAGTTCCACATTCTTCACTGAAATCCACCTGGACTTTGTACCTGTTAAAACACAAGCAAATCCACGTCCCTGCAGGGACTGGAGGTTTTTCTCAAAATCCCAGAGGTGAAGAATGGGTTCTGATATGAAAATAAAACATTGATCAGTTCTGTTTTGCAATATTGCATAGAGAAATATATCAACATAAGTTGCTATTACTAACATTCTTTGGTTATGAACAGGAGAAAACATCAAGAGCAAAACAATGCATGTAGTAAAGAAGAAACTAACAGCAATTAGGAATCAATCAGATAATACACATAATCAATAACACATGCGAAATCATACAATTACCAAGCACTGCAACACTGAACTGTCATCCCAGAATCTGCAATAGCTGATAAACCTCAAAACAACAGAAAATTGGAAAAATCATGTCCGGATTCATGTTTCTCCAATCTCCCTTTGAAAATAGACTCAGCTGTCATATATGGTCAAATTGCCAAGTCAAAAGGACTTGAATACTTTTTGATGCAGAAAACATCTGGGTTGATTGTCAGTCACTCCATCCAAGTAGAGCTAGAGCTTGGCCAGAGCCCGAATTCTAATTGGTGGGTATCACTTAACAGAGTTTAAAACAAGACTCTTAAAAATAACAGTTATGAATAAGAAACCTTAGGGTTAAAAACCAATCAAACCATCAAGTAACTGAATCCCTCCGAAGTTTCTTTCAGGATAGAGATTCTTCAAATACAGCAAACCTCTTCTTCAGAGATCTGAATTTGGTCACAGTCAGGATTGTGAGCCTGGATCTGGACACTGAGAGTGGAGGAAGTGCAGCTGAATGAAAGACTGATTACCTAGTACAAAATTGAAACCCAAAAAAAAGAAGTTAATGTTACAGCTGAACTCTCTGCTGGAGTACCTCTGTAATAATAACTGAAGAAAACCATGAGTCTGGCAGTCTGGATAAAAAAAACCCCAAAAACATATGAGTAGTTAAGAAATAAAAAGGCAGGATCCTGAAGAGATCACGACACGTGCCTTGTAAGTGATCACACAAAGAGATAGTAAAACACATGAAAGCTGGCTGCAAATAATACAACAATAACATAATAATAATTCTTATCACAAAAATCTGAGAATTCACATTATATAATCAATTTATCAACAGGAAGCATTTGAAGGGGTTAAGACAACCTTTTTAAAGCATTCATATACCATTAACAACAATCACTATTTATCAGTATTACTTATAAAAACCAAAAATAACAAAGGTTACAAACTCAATACTAACAATCCCTAGAACTCTGAACCATTGGGGAATCAGCTGATGACCCCACAGATAGGATCTGATTGACATTTCCCAAATGCTCTGTCTTCAGAGACATTTTGGGTAATTGAATAATTACTAATACTTTTATCTTTACATGGTGGTTTCCCTCCCTGGGAAGCATTTTTCACAATAGAAGATTTCCATCTATATCATATTTGGAATAGCACTGATTTGCATAGTGTTCCCTTTTTTCTGCATCTTGGGCAAAGGCCTGGCGCTTTCGCACTTTTCGCTGGTTCTGGACAGTTCTTTTACACATGTCCATATCTTCTGCATCTGAAGCATGGTCCTCCGGCAAATGCTGTTGCCATCACTTCTGTGGAACCAGCTCTTCTGTTGAAGAGCTGGACAAAGCACCTCAAGTGTTTTTGAGACTTCTTCGCACTGCTCTTGAAGAATTTTTCCGACCTGTTCCGTCCAAACACCTGCTTGAATGGCTGCGATGTGCAGAGGTGTGCCTACCTTGTTGCATGCCTCTGTTGTTGGTTGACCAGGCATGGCAGTAATTATTAATTTGCACTCTGCATTGGTGTTTGCAAAAGCGAGACTTCAAAGCAAGTGTGGCTTTG